ACATAGCCACCGCACCGACCTGTGTGTCACGCTTGCAGTTTGAGTTTCGATTCCGGGAATCCAAGGAGGAGCAGCGGCAGGCCCGACCGTCCTCCGTCCGTCCAGCAAAACGGAAGTCAAGTGGACACTTTGTGTTTACCTGGGCAAACACTTGGAAATGTGTCCAGTGATTGACAGGCCACGAGATTTGCATATTTGCATATTGTGCGACCCGCGAAAGGAAGCCGTCAAGGTGCAGCCATCACTTTAGAAAGTTATTTGCATGCCGCAAAGAGCCGCCTGGGTGCCTCGCCTTTGCCTTTGAGCCGCTGTTTGTGTGTGTGTGTTGCATGCAGATTTGTGATTGGCACATCGAATGCCAGGCGGAAGCGGCACCCAGCGAGATCCGTATCAGAGTTCAAGGACAATGGCATGTTAATTAGAGGAGAACCACAACAGTCGGCAACAATATGGCCAAAAAAATGTTTGCGTTTCGTACGCACCCTAATGACCCATAAACACTGGCTCAATAGGCCATATCCGCGTCGTGTCGTTGCCAGATAACGGGGCACTGCGGCACCTGACAGCCAACCCACCCATCCAGGGGCCCATAAACATACTCACCCACATATAAATTCTATTTATCAGCAAACATTTTGGCCCGGCACAATGGTTTGGGGGCCATTGCGATTGGGACCCTCTGAGCGGCTGTAAAACGTAGCCAACAAAATGAATGTGGAGCGGCCTGGAGCGGACTGGAGCGGACTGGAGCGGAGTGGAGACCCAACCCCGAAATAAAAACAAGTTTGCGTTTAAAGCGAACGTTAAGGGCGAAACTTTTAATTAGAAAGCAAGTACGGTCAGCCGGAAAATGGTATGGCCTGGCATGGACTGGCATGGACTGGCATGGACTGGCATGGATAAGGGAGTGGAGTCGACTACGGACATGTGTTCGCATACCACAACAGACCACAGACCGCCTTTCCCAGTGAACGCACTTCGCACTTTGCATGTCAAGACCCAATAACAGAACAGAACACAACAGAAAACAGAACGGGAAAAAACTCTTGGCAATCGTTTCTCAGCCGAATATGAAGTATGAACTGTGGTAGGTTAGGATCGTTTCACGCATCAGGGAATGGCTGGCCGGTGCCGAGCCCGCTCCGAGATGATAAATCGCCGCGACGTCTGACATCCCAAGCCGAAGCCGAAGCCGAAGCCCCCAAGGCATCTGCATGACATCCATCCCCCCCCTTCCGGATATCTCGTGGCATATTCATGTGTCAGCTGCTCATTAAAAAGGTATTCATCATTACCGCGATGCGACGCCTCGCGACGCTGCAATTGTCGCACCCAAAGACCTGGCTGCGAATCGGATCTGTCTATGCATCTTATTCTCCACAGCTGGCGGCATGTTTGCTGTCAAAAGCCATGGCAGCCAGCGTCTTGGCTGCATCTCACAGAAGACATTTATTTTTTTTATTGATTTTCCTAGAGGATTTTACGCATAGGGTATGACTGTTTTCGTGCTTGATCGCTCGATGAATTTTTTGTCGTGTTGCAATGAAATAATTTATCGATAGAGTTGGGAGAACTTTCATACTGCTCTGGTTCTTTCAGCAGTTAAGCTGAGTGAATACTTTGCCTAGAGTTTGGGTGAAATTATTGCTAATTTGTAGAAATTATAAATCTTCAAAGTGTATATAGATATTCGTTACACTCAAATTGCAATTGTTAATTTTCGTGCTTTCCTTTCACATCCCATCTCTCTCCATCTCTCTCCTCTCGTATGCATTATTTTTTTTACTTTTTGTTGAGAAATTGTTCAATGATTTTTCCTCTTTTGTGGGGGCCGGTCCCCTTTTTTGTGTGCGTTATGCGATATGTGCGCCACTTTGGCGTATGATGGAATTGACACTTCAGTTTCTGTGACAGACATGGGGCATGGGGCATCACAAACAGACCCTGGCACTGATATACGGAATACTTCTGCTCTCAAAGTGGACAGACAGAGAGAGAGAGAGATGGAGATGGAGATGGCAGATAGTGTGGCAGACGACGACGACGACGACGCACTTGAAATGCATAAAATGGCATTTTCCTTTGTGCTGTGCTCTTCTGCAGACTGTGAACGCTCTGGTCTCTGGTCTGCTCTCGTATGATGGTGGTGGTGGGTGTTGCTGGAGTTTATGGCCAAATGGAGTTGAAGATGCGTTTGTTAGCGCTAATGGCGCATTTATGACAGGCCTCAGGGGTGGCAAACTAACATTGCAACAGAAACAGTAACAGCCACAGCCACAGCAACAGCAACAAATACAAAAGAAAGCTCACATATCCAACCCCCTACTGCCGCCAGTTGTGTGGTCTATCAGTCCATCAATTTGTACTTTTATCACTTACGAAAACAAACTTCAATTCCAAGCGAAAAATGACAGCATCAATGAATGTTTTTCTAGCTTTAGATTTACTTTGGCATATCGTAACGTAAAGTTTGTCGTTGGGGGGTGTACATCCGCTAATTGCTGTAACTGTGTCAGCCCCCGGGGGCTCGCCTTGGTTCAGTTTCGTTTGTGTGTAATCAAAGCGGCGAATGTACTGCCCCTGCCACTGCCGCACGCTTTGTTGCATCACATTTCCTTTAACCCATCAAAGTGGAGCTGTGCCTACGTAAACGATGTACGATGTAAGTGGCACACATGCGCAGCGTCACACAGATGTAACAGATACATTTTTGATAGCAAAGGCGAGTTGCGAGTTGCGAGTGAAGAACAATGAAGGAGGAGGCAGGCAGGCAGGCCACCGCCTGCGGCCATTGTCGCTCTCGTTCTTGTGGCTTGTGTTGCGCTCTTCTGTGTGCTGCTTCCCGTATCAATCATAATTAGGCATACAGTACGATGCGAGCAGTAAATTTGAGTTTTGAAGAAACATTAACGTTTGTCCCTATGCGTAATTACAATCTACACACATGACTGAAAAATGTTTGGGTTCGTGAGAATTCATCATTATTTCTGTATTTCTCTACGCAGTCTTTGTGGGGTATATAATATATAAGAGATGGTAAATGCAGTGCATTGGCAGCATACAGAAAATTCGAGTCCATAAAGTATTCACAGATCACTGCCACAGAATGTATGAGCCACTTTTTGAAGGATAGCATGCTCTTCTTTGGTCTATTTATATTATTAAAGCCATTAAATATATTATATACACATTTTTGCAGCTAAAACAGAAGGCCAATAGATCCTTCGACTTATGGCAGTTTATCGTATTGCGGGGTATCCTATAGTCGGAGTGCCGCGATCTAGCTGGCTGCTTTTTTGGGGCCACGTCTGCATCTCTGCACTTGGCTTGGCCTAGCCCACATCACAGCGTAGCACAGCACAGCACATCAAATGTTTTAGTGCTTAATAAAGTGTGTTATGTCTTTTGTAATTATTTTCAGCTTTAGCCGCGCTTGATTGCCGGAGTGAGTGCCGGAGGAAAGGCCCCTGCCCCTGCATCGTCGCAGGCGTTCGTTCCAAAGCGTTTTTAATTCCAGCCAAAAATTTATTCCATGTGTGGGCCCATCGCCATCAGATCTTAAGCCAAGCACCGAAATCAGACATCAGGCATTGCTCTCTCAGAGATATACATACATATGTACATATATGTATAGGAGTCTGAGTCTGTGTATATGTAAATGTGTATGTGTGTGTGTGCCAGTGCCACCTACAAGGTGCTTTGGGCTTTTGGGTTTCTATTTGCACAGGTGTTTTAGCACCTGAGCTTCAAATGGGTGTTTTGGGGTTTGTGGCGGGGGCCTGCATTAGGTACGAGTATTATCATCAATGTAGGGCTGGACGGGGGCGTGTCAACGATAAGTGCTAAAAGGCTGGTGACTGCACTCTTCCCTGTAATAATTAGCACATCATGAAATGTAAATAAAGGGGCCACCGCCGTTCCACCAGTGATGCACCACATTCGTTTCGTGACTCGAACAATAACCATGAAAGGTCGACGCTACGAGAATATCCCATTGCTATGGCGTTGCCTGATCAATTTTATGCATCTCTGGGGGTATGATAATTTTAAGCAACTCTGGGGCTGCTGCTACACACCTTCCATGACACATTTTGTTTAATATTTACTTTCGAAAAAAAACTCGCAACATTTTTGTTGCATGAAAATTCGATTGCATTTCCTTTTTGGCTAGTTTCGCGGGGAACTTTCTTTTGTTTTTCTCCCGCCATTGTGATTGCTTTTCCCACGAAAATCATTTGGCAGATGGTTTTTTGATTGCTCTGGAGGCTAATTTTGTTTTTTTTCTTCTTCTTCTTTTTTGTGGAGAAGTAATGACTTGAAGATTCCGCCTGCCCCCAGGCCAATCGAAGAGTTCGCTTCGCCAGAGTTTCGGTTCGAACTTGGAGACGTATTGGAGGAGCATCATTCAATTTTTCAAAGCTTTACTTTATGGATAAATGAAAACCGGTCTGCAGCGGACAATCGGTTAATAATAAAGATTTTAAACTAATTGGCTCATTTAGCGCACAACAAAAAAATAAGAAAAAAACATTACAATAATGATGAAGATGAAGATGACGATGACGATGAGTGATGACTGATGATCATCGCAAAATCATGGCCTTCACTTGGCTACGCAGAGTGGTGGTGGGAGCGCGGGGGGTAAGTCACAAAAAAAAACGAAAAAATTAATTATACAAAAGTGAATTTTGCCATTGCAACGTTTTTTTTTTCTCTTTCTCCTTCTCTTGTCAGCGATTTTGCAAGAGCTCCAACTCTTGGGGTGTGTGCTCCGCCCTGAACTTTATCGCGAGAGTCATTAACGAACGAATTGGGGCATGGCATGGAGCACAGGAAGAAGAGAGCAGACCATTGATAAAAATGGAAGGAAAGACATAAAAGCTACTGCTGGACATAATCGTCCAACGTCTCCAAAGGGCAGTCTATAGATGGGGGATTGTAGATGTTCGGTGGGTGTGTGTGTGTGGGGGATTGTGTGTGGGTGGGTTTTCTCAACTTACTTGCGTGCCAGGCGTTTTCGTATTCCAGCAAACATTTTTCGGGTCCTCCTGCGCGCAGCGCCCTTATCCTCTTTTATGTCGGTACTAATGTTGTATTGTAAATTAAATTGCCGATTTCCGTAGAGCAGTCGTCTCTTTCTCTCGTTCTTCCGTCCGTTGAGAAGGGGAACGGAACAAAATACGGCAACACTTAAAATTAATTAAAAAAATAGCAAAAAAACCCGCACTTTCTGTTGTTTTTTCTGCTGTTGCTGTTGCTGCTGCTGCTGCTGCTGCTGTTCATTTGTCGCGTTGTTGTTGTCATTGGCAGCTTTTGAACGCCTCATTGCAGTAGGAGAGACGGACAAGCAAACAATCACAAAACACCGAGGAAAAGTATACGGAAAAAGAAACACAACAACAACGAAATCAATTAGCCAAAGTAGTTTCGAGGGGGGCCTGGGAGATGGATGTGGATGTATCTCCCTCCGATTGGTGTTTTTTGGTTGGTTGGATTGTGCAATCTATAATTCCAAGAAATCAATAATCCTCAGCTGCGGATCGCGTACGCGATCATTTCCCAATACACACACAGACACAGTCACAGTCACACACATGTGTGTGTATGCACTTTGGTTTCCACTTTTCACACTGCCTTTTTCTTCATTCACTTTTCATTTCTTTTCCATAAGCCCAACCACACTGCCACACTGCCACTCCTCCGTTGACAATCTTTTGTGGGGACTGTGGACTGTGGGCGAAGATGCTGGGGTCTGGGTCTGCTGCAATGCGATGCTGAAACGAGCCAAAGAGAGAAATTCACACATTATTTTCAAATTTTTTTTCTGTTCATTTGTATCAACAATAAGGGGCCAAGAAATGCTTGGTTGGAAGGAAACCCTCTGTGGGAAGGCGACCAGCAACATAAGCGATTTATATAATTGACGTGTCGAGTGACAAATTCAAAACATTTAATGCCAACAAGTCGTTACGAATCGGATGCGGTTGGTTCCCGACCCTCCCATAAGTTTTAGGGGCGACAGCAGTGGAAATTTCGTAATTCTGACTGAGCAAAACATTGGCCGACTTGCAGCACGTATAACATTTGATTTAAGTGTGGCATTGAATGCGGCAATAAGAGATAGAGTTAGAGTAAGAGTAATGGATAGCCAGTTGGACCCATCTACACATAATTTGAGCTGCTTGCCTACTGCCTGCAATCCATCTAAGCAGTGGTCTACTTGAACTGCTTGAAACGCTGTGCAAGGCAGTGATGTTTTGAATACTTTCAAGCACTTATTTAATTTTTAAGTAATTAAAACATAAAACATATTTGCAGGCCAACACACTTGCACTTGAAGTGCATTAAATCAGGGCAGACAGGGAACATTGTGCCAATAAGCGATAAGAGTAAGTTAATGAGAAACAAATGTCGCTACTGCTTGGATGTATGTGCAGCTTTTTGCACAGTTTAAACATATTGATTACTGGAGAGAGTTCTGTACCATAAAACCACTAAAACAGAGAGATCTTAAGCAGGAAATATTTGGGATATATTGACGGATTTTAAAAATAATATAAATGAATTTTAAGTAAAGATAAATATCCCACTGCTGGTACGCTTTCCCCACAAAGAACCCATATTCCGTATAGAGTGCTCCTTTAGTCTCATTTAAAGCTTCAAGTTAAATTTTGTGCGAGAGTTATAATTGGGAAACATCTCTTAACGAGTTTTAGAGCTACGCTCAAGTGGCCAGAGTCATTTCCTAGACCGCTCGACTGTCGCGCCCGCAGAACCACAAGATTTATGGACCGCAAAGTTGATGGAATCTGGCAAAAAAAAAAAAGAGCTACGGCCTGCTGTGGGGGAGTGGAAGTGGAATCCCATCCCATACCAGACATTTGGGCTGTTGGGATGTTCTGAGCGATAAGGTGAGCAACGGCGGCGATCTCTGGGCCCCACATCAATCATGGCCTCAATCTGTGTGTGTGTGTGTGTGTGTGGTAGTGGAAAGAACGGATGCAGATGTAATTATGGCCCATTCTCGTCTCGGCCGTGTTCTGTTTTGTTTCCCTTCCCCCCTACTTCCCAGCGTGCTAATGGCCTAAGTATTTGGTTACAGTTTTTTTGGGGGGGGGGGGCAAAAAACGTTTTCGGGCCGTGCACTTGGCTTACATAGCCACACACACAGACTCACACACACACAGACGCAGATGCAGCTACTACTAGAGCTACAGATACAGATACATTTTTCAGAGGGAGCTTCCAAGGCCTGGCCAAGCATGACAAAGAACATGTTTTTGTTGTTGTTGTTGTTGCTGTTGTAATTTGTTGCATGTGAGTGAGAGCGTGAAAGAGGCATGGGGCAGGGGGGCTGCAGGGGAGCCGGGCAGAAACTCGGAACTTCTCACGCACGCTGCTGCGGCATTTGTTGGTTGTATCTGTGTATCTGGGAAATGTTTGTGCGTACAAACGCGCTCTGTACGAGTATCTCTGTATCTGTATCTATTGGAGATTGCAACACGTACAGCGCGTGCATATTACCCCGTTCCCATTGCTGTGCCCGGGGTACGAGGTCCGCCCTTGTTATGGTTCATGTTCCGCATTTGGTTGTGCCGCTATTTTAGGTCGTTCCCCTGCTGCCTCATGCTGCCTCATGCCCACTGCCTTGCCACAGCGGAAACCTGCAACATACGATACGCTTCAGCGAGCGTGCAATTACCACCGCAAAACATTGCTCCCGATACCCGTGATGCCCCAACTCTGCGGCAGGGAATCAGCCAGCCACCAAAATATAAAAGTGGGAACACTCTTTCTGATTTATGGGCCATTGTAACCGACAGATACAAAATGATCCTCCTACCAAACAGAAGAGAACAGAAGAAGAAGGCCAAAACTGAAGTGCATAAGTTGCCGCTGCTGCTGCTGCTGCTGGCCCAAGGCACTGATTACATTGCACTCTGCTGCAGGGCAGAGCAGCGCAAGTGCCACAGATTCCCCCATAGATTAAACAACAAAGGGGCGCACGCCCCCACCGATCTCCATGTCACCCACATGGCCCACAAGGGCCACGGGCAGATTAGAGTACAATTCCAGCGATCAAGTGGCCAGAGAATGTGCCTCGCTGATTTCTTAATAGAATTATTTTTGATTTTAATTTGGGTCTTGGATAATGCTTGGATTCTTGATGCCTCTGATGAAATTTTCCGCTTGTGGCATGAAAAACGAGCCAAAGAAAATTGCGACGAGCAAATGTGCGAAATACAAATTTCATAACGTGAAATTAGCGCAAATAACTTGAATGCAAATGCAATTTGGCCACATCGTTGATGGGGGAGACAGGAGGGCAGGAGGCACGAGACACCAGGCACGAAGGGGGAGGAGGCAAACCACTGCTGCTGCTGCTGCTGTCGCTGCTGCTGCTGATGACGAGAGGTCCACTGATGATGCCGGATGGCCTGGCTGACTGACTGCAGTTCTGCAGTTTTGCTGGTCGCTTGGCTGCCCATAAACGAAGCAGCAGCTGCAGCACAAAACTTAACTCCGTCCCTCACTTTGCCCCAATCCCTGCCTCCCTGCCAGCCACCCATCCCCTCTACCGAGGGTAACGGGATTTATAATTAAACATCAACTCAGCAGACTCGCCGACTCTCAAGACTCGCAAGACTCGCAAGACTCACCAGCAGAGGCACGCACGCGGTCTCTCGTAGCTGAAGTCCATTTATGCCAATAAGCAAAAAGATGAAACATAAAAGCGTGCCTTCATTTGAGGGATAATCGACTGGGAGATACCCATTAAACACTCAAATTGACAATACTGTCCCACATAGAGAAGGAAACCGGAAAGTTCCCCTCGCTGGCTGTATCCTTTCTGTGTGACATCTTTGATTGCTTCATACCCCGTCACATACCGACCCGCATACACAGCATACCCTCTGCATCTCACTCTCCACAAATATTGGGCATAAAAATAATCTTTCGAGTGCGCTGTCTGCCCCCGCCCCTATCCTGCCTGCCTGCCTTCCTTGGGGCTTGCTGACAGCAAAGTCTCCACGCGCGAATGTGTCGCCAAGTTGGCTCACTCCCCAATAGAAACCCCCTACCACCCCACCACCACCCCTAAGCCTCAACGCGATCCGCGCTATCTACAGAGTATCGAGAAATGAGAGCGAAAAATAAACAAATCATAAATCTGTGGAAAATATGTTTTATGGCTGTTACGACCACCCAAAATATCGCAGTTCCACATACAAATACGAGCATAGATGCCCAGCAAAAATAGTTCTCTGCATATGTGTATCCCATAGATTCACAGATACTTCTCTTTCCTTCCCATTTTGGTTCCAATTGCAGCTCTTTCACGCCGTTGTCCTCCAATTAAAAACATAGCGAAAAAAAGCCTGCGCCCGGCTGCTCCCCTGCGTCTCCAGCCCGCCCTCCTGTTTGGTTGTTTCAGTCGAATGGTTAATCGAAAATGAAATGCAATCAAATTTACATTCGGATAAAGTTTCGCCCCATCGTTGGCGTCCCTGGCCAGAGTCCATAATAAATGCCAATAAAACTTCACATTTAACCCACAAAACTTGCATCGGGGGAGCACCTTTTATACTGGCGGCTCCCAAAACTCAATTTCAACTTTTATTCGAGCGGCAACCAAAAAAAAAACAAACTACGGAAATCCTCTCGCTGACAGGTGTGTGTGGCAGTGTGGCAGTGTAGCTGTGTGGCAGGTAGTAGCCATGTAAATATGTGCGTGTGTACAGTGTACATGTGTAATCGTATATCCATTACGATACTCAAACAGTTCTCGGTTTGTATAACTCATAAAGTACTTGAACCGAGTGCTAAAAACACTTTAAAATCGATTAAATCTATTGATTAATTCGATGGAAGAAGTGGAATCCATTTTGGAGGTCTACTCGTATGTAAACTAGAAGCCACGACAATGATAATGGATTTATTAAACATTAACAGGGTTGGTTATTTATAGATCAGAGTCTTGTCAGAGTCTGGAATACGCAGACTACGAATTAGGCATCCTGAAGTGTGCCTTAAATGAGTTTCCCCAGAAATAGTTCACTCACCTCTCCATTTAGCAACTATGTCTATGTATCTATGTGCCGCACTGTTTGCTCTGTTTGTTTACGTATTCACTTGACGGCGCAAAACCCAATCAATTGATGCAAAATTGCCACAGACTAAGCCTCGAAAAATCGCTCAGCTGAAAACTGAAAACTGTGCGTGGAAATGTAAATACTTTTATGCAAGGGAAAACATTTCCCAGTGCCCCAAAAGTGCCACCCCACAGGTCCCCTACCCCCACAGTTGTTCTCACAAATCTGTCGCTGGCTTTATCTTCGGTGGAGCAGTGGAGGAAATGCGACAGTC